ATTTGGAAAGTTCTTTTTATATTTTTAAATTTCACGACAAAATAAAAACACTAAACGTGGAAAATTAAGAATGAAGTTTATTATAATTCACAATAAAGGCGCATTGCAGTGGCTAATGCTTTTTTAAAGTTAATAATTTTGACGGCCGGCCTGATGTAATGCATTGATATAATACCTTTTAACTCAATGCGTTATTTATTTAACATAAGGCCTACCAACTAAAATACATACTAGATATTTCACAAGAAAACATTCAAACACGTATATATGTGTATGATGTACAAGAATACATCACAATCAACTAACTTACTACAATACTACACTATTTTTAATTGTAACTACTTTTTCGGACAAAATGTCTATGTCTATTTTGTTACAAATAACGTTATATTTGCCGAGGATATAGGATAGAGGTGTGTTGCTCCCATAATTGTTACGACTAGTTTTTTTTTTACCTTTGGCTTATAGTTTACTGCAGATAGTCTGGGTAATAGTGACAGATTGAAACATAAACACTTTCTTTGATGCAAGTAAGATGTTACTGTTACGGTTACTGTCATGTTACTGTTTGTTATTTATACAAGAATATTCATATCAAAATGACACACAAGTATAAAATGTATTATTCAATTTATTTAAAATTAATTGTATTCATGCAAACGTTAACAAAACGATGACATGCGAAGTAACGATTATGTCAGAACACTAAGAATAGCGTTTATTATACCTACCGATGTAAAGCCGAAATATATGATTGAGTGAAGTTTGTAGCCAGTGACTGAAAATGAATCTCTTTGTTCGATTTAACTGCCTCACCTCTTTTCACAAAAAATATATCAGGTATCTTATCACAGTTATCATAGAACTAGTGGAAAAGAAGTAGATTAAAAAAAAATCATGTCAACGTTTTAAATAAGCAGTCTTGTTGAGTTATATCACATAAAATTTTATGTATGCAATTCGTTAAAGATTTTCAAAATTGATTGTTTTTTTTTTGTTTTTACATTTTATTCTTCATATTTCTTGGATTTTATTATGACTATATTATGACACGACTTTTACATGTAGCTATGAAATTTCAATTTTTGGCTTTGTTGACCATACCATACCTATTCTGTTGTTGACCATACATTATGAGGAGAGGGAACTCCGTATCAAGAGTACCTACCTCCTTTACTATTTAAAACTAGTTTACTAGATGCGCTAGGTTAGTACCAATGTGGTATGCGTAACTACGCATATTTGTCACTGTTTGTCATTTCGTTCCTGGGCACGTTCCTCACATCAAGTTTGTGTGAAAGCGATGTGTGAAAGCTAGATCCCCATCAGACCTAAAAAGACGATGACATAATTTTTTTCCTACCGCTGACGAAAGGGACCAACGTCTTTGACTTCAAACTCTGACTCTGCGAGTCATTTAATTAATTGATTTTGAGTTCCAATGCCTTTACCAAGGGGCCTACAAATCCCCAATGCCTCATTTCTCTAGTAGACAACCAAATAGTATTAGAACTGTTAGCTAAATTCCGCTTTCTGCAACTATAATATATATGTATAGCAGGTACTTCAACAAGTAGATCGGATACCTACTACACCTGTCAAGTATTAGCTACCCACATAATTAAACTAAACATAGTACTGTTACTCATTTGAATAAAATACAAACAAAGTTATCTAAACCGTTTAGTGCACTTAATCACTTCTAAAACAAACCATAGTTTTAAATATACCTACCTAATTTCTCTTTTTTCTGTAAGCAACTCCATACCTCTAGCATTTGCATTGGAAGTATTTGAAAGTGAAAGGGTCAATGCCCTCCGAGTTTTGATAAAATGAATGGTCTTACTGTTTGCATGAGTTGTTGTTTATTGTTTATATTTTTTACAAGCACTGTTTTGTCAAGCATGTTATTCTGCTACTGACTCGTGTTGATATTTTACAGTTCATTTGTTGTAGATTAATAAGTTATCGCAAATATGTATATGCAAGGAGTTGTAAATAGAATCTTTGCAAAGAGATGCGAGATTAGATTAGATTAGTACATATGAATCCTTTTTAAAAATAAAGCTGAACTAAAAAACGAAACTTCAAGAAATCTGTCGATACTGTCTTGCCTGTTTGAAGTCGGTTCAACTTTTCTTTTTTAAAGAATTTATTTTACCATTTTTATTGTGAGATACGTTTTTAATAAGTAGATATGATATTTAAAACACTACGTACTGTAATGTACCTATATTATCAAATTGTAGTAGGTTCATTAGATTATAATAAATTTCATAAGTCTGTTACTTCATTTATATAAGGTGGTAAGATATCAAAATTTAAACTCGAAAATAAATTGTTTTCCACATTACTTAATTTTCTACCAGTAGGAGTGGTATTATTTCTTTACATTTGACTCGAACCAAAGGGGAAATATACACTTCCAAATAAAAAAAGAATTATCCAAATCGGTTTACAAATGAAAGATTTTTGAGGTAATAAACATAAAAATAATTGTTGTGTTTTGAAATCTCATTTATTACTTTCTTTTGCACATATCTCTGCAACCCAACATAAACACCTAACAAATATCTTGAAATAATAATACAAGGTCAATACATGAATATATTATTGAAAGAGTTATCTTCTAACTCCTAAAGGTCAAAGTTTTCCATCATCAGCTCAGCAACATGAGATAACGACTACCAAACGCAAATACGTATATAGCAAGATAAAACAACCTAAAACACGTTGTCGGGGCTGTAAAATTTAAGGGGTTGTCTTCCATACCATCATCAGATCCTGATTTGATCGTAATGGGACCACCCCTGGCTTATACCCTTTCGATTACAAAAATAATTTCGAAAATCGGTCCACAATTGACAGAAATATCGCCTAACAAACAAATCACATCACATAAACAGCCTTTAACAGTCCACTGCTGGACATAGGCCTCTCCTTAGAAAGGCGGTTTTGGCCTACTATTTTGACAAACAAATACAAAAAAAAACTACAGTTGAATTGAGAACCTCCTCTTCTGTGTTTTTGAAGTCGGTTAAAAACAAGTAAATGACGCTGACGACCATTGTGACAAATTTTGCAACTTCAATGTTTTTCTTATTCAAGGTAAAACAGTATGTAAATGAGAACATTTTTGATGGCTAGTTTTATAAATAAATTATTATTATCTGTAGTCGATAACAAATTACAACATGTTTTTGCATTTTAGTCACAATGTAACATTTATTGAAGGTCGGAAGTTACATTTACAAAGAATATCAGTTTAAACAAGGTACTATTTTGCGAAGCAACAATATGACTTTAATTTACTTGTAATAATATATAAGAGAAAGGGAAAGTTTAATATACATTACACATGTAATTACATTAAGATAGTGATGGAAAGCTGCAGTAGTCACATGGTTGTAAGAATTCCCAATATTCTTACTGACTAACGAAATAAAATATTCTTTAATGTATTTTGATCCTGTTTCATATAATTTTTGCAATATTTTAAAAGGAATACGTACCTGAGGCAAAAACTATTTTTACCTAGCTACCTGTGACTCTTTGATTAGAAAAACGCAAGCCTTTGTGTTATCCAAGGAAATGTTTTTGCCCTTGCACATTTTTAGCGACTAGACGTCTAGACAATCTTGTAAGTATTTAGTAGGTTATCAAGGGAGTTGACTCACTATTAGTATTTATTACACATATGGTAATGTTGTTTATCCGTAGTGAGTAGTTACTAGTTGGATATATTGGGACTTCGTACTGGGACCAGACCACAATATACATATACCTATCCCATGTTTTATGGCACATGTTTCAATCAATCCCAAACCGGTTTCTCAGTGACTAACATCATCATCATCATAATAACTAACAATAGGACTTAACATTATATAAATAAACACACTTACCAACTCCACAAACTTGATAATAGACAATCTGCTAACAGCCATTTTAGAATAGGTTTAATTTCAAAATATACGAAGTTAAAGATTTGTTTACACTGGCACACAAGCGTTCAAAGTCACGACGGCGACGCCACTGAGACTGCGCTTTGCGCTGTGCTACGCATTGGGCTCCATAAGGCGTCGTACGAATGAGATCATTCACTGGTGTGGCCATCGTGTTTATCGTGTGTAGGAAAGTAATAAACAAACACGAAATTCTTACCTACCACATGGCCCAAACGCATACGTGACCGACTTAACTTCAGTTTTTTAAAGTATGTATAAGTATGTGTGTAACTTTTTCTTATCAACTGATTTTTATTGCGTTTTTTAAGTGATTTAAAGTAAATAAATATCTGATATCTTTAATAAATCATTTTTATCAGATTATACGATTATATTCAGATAGCTGTTACGAAATGCACCACATTTGAGATTTTTTTGGTATTCAAACTATGTGCATTGCAGGCGACCTAGTGCAACAAAAAAAATTATCGTTTTACTGCTGGAATCTTCGTATATCGTAACAGAGTTATTTAGTCTCATATGAGTCAACATATCTAATATAAATATTGAATAGTAAAAAAGAACATTTTAAAATACTTAATGTTATTTTTTTTTAATAAAAATTAACAAATAATCGATCTCCAAACTGTAATACACCACAGGAGGACAAAATCAATTGGTTTCTCTTACAACAAATATCTTATATTTATATTCTTATATTATCTTATCTTATATATCTTATATTCTTATATTTATTTATAATTATTTTGGAACAAATAAAATATAATTATATGAGATATTTGTAATTTTATAACAATCAAAAGTGATCAGCCAATTTTAATATTAAAAAAGTAATAAATTATTGTTACCAATTAGAAAATTGATGATATATTCAGTGTACCTACAGTGAACGAGATAAAAATCGTTGAGCAAACGTTAGCCTTGTTAAAACAATCCTCTGGTAATTAACGATGAGTTGCAATTTAATACCAAAACAAACATTGCAACGTCACTCTTTTCTGTTTGAAACCATTTGAGTTGAAAAAAACTTACCAGCTCCAAGAACTTGATAAGAGACAATCTGCTGATAGCCATTGTAGAATAGCTCTTAATTCAAAATAATACGACTTGGGTGTGGTTGGTTTACACTAGTACACAGAGGCACAGCGACACTAAGACTGCCAGTCACACTGTCAAAGAAGTTAATTTGCTCCGTGAGCCTCCGTGAGGCAAGTACTTCTTACACGATGAGATCATTTACTGATGTCGTTGTTTATTGGCGTAGGCCAGTAATAAACAACTCATTAAATTTGTTACACATATTTAAGTTAAACCTCTACGGGCAGAACTCAGGGCAACGTCAAGGTTCTTAAGTATATCGGAATTAATCCGTGTGTACAATATTTTCTCACAGCTAGAGGCTTTTACTTTGAACATGGTCTAATAGCTTCCAGCGGCTTTGGCGGTAATTTAATATATATGTATATATTTAATATATAGGTCTAACAACCTTCTAACTTCCTTTTTACTGCGTATTTGACGAATATCACCTACGCACAGGAGTTGGCAGCAATAAGGATATCATATCAGCCACACCAACTGTAGTGAGGAAAACACAAAGATAGTTGTAACATCACTGTACTGGTATAACTCCATCATTAGTCCTTCTTATACAGTCCATCAGACTTGATTCGTATATTTTAGTCTGTTGATTAGTAGATTATTTAGTAGAAGTAGCGTCTGAAACCATCGTACCCTAAGGTAGATGATTTAATTTTAATCTTCAAAAGAGATTTTAATCTTCTAACATATTTATATTTCCTACATAATATACACTATAGGTCGCACATCATATAGTAACTAAGTTATCCACGCGTTAACCACGCATGAGGTAACGTCATTCTAGCATTGCTTCACATCACACATCACATCAACAGCCTATAATAGTCCACTGCTGGACATAGGCCTCTCCTTAGTACCCCTGAACTCTGGCGTGCTTGTTTAGTGCCTGGAGCAATAATTCTAAACCAGCACATTGAGAATGAGCAAAGAAGCATTAGCCAAAGATGAAACAAGACCTCTGTATACGACAGATTTTAGAAGTGGCACCTTGTTGTTAATAATGCAATACATATAACGTAGCAAAATATTTTAGCCGAAGTAGCTATAGGTAGTTGATTATAGTTGACGTGGACGCACAAGATAAAGATTTGAATAGGTCAGTAAGGGATCAAGTAATCGTAAAATAACGGCACCACAGAGTTGTCTGATAACTCTTCGAAAGTCACGACATCTGTAATTTTTTTATTGAATAGTGTTTGTGCGATATTTTGGCCAAAAGTATTTTTAGCTTTCTATTTCTCAAAAGGAACTCTTACTAACTTGTTGTCAATCTTTATGTCTGCCTTTCCGTCAGTATATCAAAACCTTTTTCGTAGAAATACGTAGAGATATCAATTTTAAACTTAAGTCTGCCGATCTTTAAAGCCGTTAAAATCAAGTTTTTAATATACTTTACTTGTACACAAGGGTTTTTTAGAGTTGATAGAACATACAGTGTAAAACAAGGGCCACGTAGGTTGTGTGTATATCAGTTCAATAAGGACGTAAGACGTGTGGACGTCGCTGATATTATTTTTGTTGATTATTATATGGTTACTCTGTTGTTTTTTTTGTTTTAAAAAGACAAGTCCCGCATTAAGTATATTTCCTGTGTCGCGGGGGACTTATACAGATACACATGAAACTGGCACAAGAACACCCAGACTCAGAACAACAATTTGTGGATCACACAAAGTGTTTTTTCATGTGGGGATCGAACCCACAACACTCAGCGCAGTAGGAAGCTGCGAGGTGACCGCTTAAACAACTATGTCATCCGTGCAGTCGAGTCCGTGTAATGGTTGTCTTGAGTTCAAGACTTGATAAAACTTTCAATAATAAGTTGACTGGTTAAAAATGTAATTTATGTGTATATTTAATGAAATAAAGAGAATTCTAATACAATTTTAAATAGTTTACATTACATACTTATAAACTAAATTTACGAAAAATATATTACAGACGCAAGCAGATAAGAACGGGCAAATTTACCAAAACGATGAAAAGGTGCCCATCACACTTGCTGCACTGCCGCGTTGAATGGCAATGGCGAATCTTTGCACCAGGAACCAACCGGAGCGATAGTTACTATTGACTTCTGTGAGTTTTCGACAAAATTGTAAACCTATTAATAATTAAAAATACGAAAGTTTGTGAGGAGGCATGTATGGATGTAAACTCCAACACGTGAGGACAGCTGAACGTAACTGGATGAATTCTATACAGAGGTAGATTATAACTGAAATAGTATTTTTTTAAGCTTAAGTTAAGTTTTAGCAAGGAAAATTTTATTTACAAAATTGACGGTAACAGCTAGTGTACAATAAACGGTATTATATATTATAATAATGTCTAAAATCGTACCGGACTTACAAGGAGAGTAAATAACTGTTAATGCAAATCTATTCAAGACAAATATTTTTCCTTTACCACTATTAATTATATTACTGAATCAATGTCTTTATGATAATTTATGTTGATGATTCATATTAATACTGACATTGTTTACTCATTTTAACTACTTCCAGCTACGTAATGTTTATAAATAGCGACAGCAGTACCTTCAACTGTGAACTGGTTTCATGCTATCAAAATAAAGCTGTACACAAATTGTAAGTGTATATTTGATGAAACCAAAATAGCAGCCTACGATAATGATGACAGCATTCCATGAAGTCATCATGCATGGTAACAAAATTTTTAGAATTAACAAATTTCATCGTATCATTCAAATTTGAGGTGTTTTTTTTTTATATTTGACAGATAATTATCAATTTTACTTTTAGATCATTTGAAAGCTAGGCAACGTCATGGCATAAAATAAGAGGAGCTAAGGAAGAGAGAAGGGCAGAAGAATTAGAACACAGGTGTCCATCCTAACGAGTACCTAATTTATTTATTTATTATTTATTTAATCTTGTAAAACAAGTGTTTCTTTTAGAAGGTTGGTTGTTTAAATGAAATAATATACATGAAATTATCATTGATTGCGATAATTTATGTGATATAATGATAATTTCATGTAGTTCAGAATAACTGACTTCAATGCACCGCAAAATGGAAAAGAATTTTTTGAACACAATACATTACTACTCGTAGTATTAAATAATCATCGACGGGCCTGTTGGTCTAGTGGTTAGTGACCCTGACTGCCGGAGGTCGTGTTTTCGAGTACCACCTGGGACAAAAATTGTGTGAAGAACACGGTCATTTGTTCTGTGTCACGGTGTAATTTATCTAAAATATATATATATTTTGAAAAATATATAAGTATGTTTATCAGTAGTCTGGTTACCATAGTACTGCCTAGTTTGGGATCAGACAGCCGTGTATGAGATGTGTGAGGTTATTATTATTGACATCATCATCATCAGCCTATCGCAGTCCACTGCTGGACATAGGCCTCTCCCATGGCACTCCACTTAGATCGATTTTCGGTTTCTCGCATACAGCTCCTGACAGCCATCTTGCGGAGATCATCACTCCAATAATACGGAATATTTATTAGGTAGTGTTACAATTAAACATTTTAGAATTATTTTTATTATTTTTAAAGCATTTTAGAACTATTTTTATCACCTATAACACATTATTTATTCAGGAAACAGCAGTGTTGTTTCCATCATTAGTCATTAAATCAGTGACTCTTTTGTTTGTGTCACACAAGAACGTTCAACAGTGACACAAGTCTTGTACAGCGAAGTACTAGTAACTATTATACTGATTAATAAGGAAATCCCTAAAAACCCCGAGTCCCGACACACTTTGGCTACCAGATGTATTCCTAACCAATCACTCTCTGCCAATGAATGTCGCAAAGCTATTATCCCATCGAGGAGATGTTAACCAAAAATATTTCTAGTTCACCTAGGTCCTAGTTATCAAGCTAATAGACCTATAGTCACTAATCACCGCAAAGATCACGACGTTAGGGGACGATTTTTATTTTAATCACAAGCGGTTGTGAAAAAGAGGTAGAATAGTTGGGCGGCTCCAAATGAATGAATGTACTGCTTCATCAGACCGTATTTGATCTTCACATACTGCAAATAATAATGTGTAGTTCACATACTATAAACTGAAGTCAAATTTCTTGTAACCGTACGGATCTATGTACGAGTGTTGGTAAGACTAAGAATAATTAATTATTCCAAACTGACACCACATTAGTTGCATTAGTAGTATTTACATTGCACCCGTGCGGAGCCGGGCGGATCGCTAGTTGTTTACAAGGAACGTGGGTCAAGAAAAATAGCTATGCTTTATGAAACTACTATCGACGAATAACGGTCAATTAAGGTTTAATACTACAGTTAGGTATTTTATATACCTAGTAATTTTATATATTATATTTGTGTAACCACAGTGACTCATTGAGAGTGCTGATAATAATTAATGATTTTAAACCATTTTCTAAAAATAATTACTTGACGTGATAACGCTATGAAGTACGCTATATGAGGTTTTCATTTTAAAATAGTATTAATTAAGAAAATTCGAACTAAAATTATTTTTTGGATTTTGTTTAACTTACACCGCATATAGTAAAATATCACGTAAAAAACACTTTATGCAGCCAAAAATAGTAATTGATCACCAAAATTAAAACCTAATTTTAATGAGATTTTTTTACATTTTGCTTTCCTATTAAAGTAAATGTCATAAGTAACAAATCATAATTAACTCAACAAATATACTAAATACATGTAGTAAATGATACTTAAAATTTTCATTCAAATGTACTGTTAATTTATGGTTTAGAATGGAGCTTTTAGAATGCAACTTTCTTCTATATACAAAAAATCCATGTACAAAAGTTACATCACGCTTTGCGGGGTTCCTTATTTCTGGGTGGTTTAAAAATAAAGAAATTACCACGAAGAACGACGGGTGGATGCATAAGAGATTGCAGAAGTTGCGACATTGTGTCATTCAAACAACTATCTAAATAGTTAAAAAAAAACATGCAATTTCAATAATCCTGTTCTTAAAATTTATACAATGTCAGAAGTCATAGTGCATTGGTTTTCTCGCTGTCATTTGGTGATCATTTACTACATTTGCTGTTTGAATACAATTTCAAGTCTAGTCAAGACTAAATCAGATAATTATTATAATTTTAGACTATCTTTGTTAAGGGCTTAAAATTATTTTATAGTGGTCATTATATGAAATCCGTCATCTTTTACTAGCTACACTTACCCGCCATGAATCACATGTAGGTAAAGTAAAAAAAGTCTGGTTGTATTTTTTTTATTCAACAGTGGTAGCAAATCGGTGATAAGAGCGCTGCACCTTTCTTATCATGAAGGATCCCCCCAGATAAACTTCGATAGTGAGGTTATTCACACAGCCGGAGCGCTTGTGGAAGAAAATTCATCTGGAACCGTTGTGGTGGTGGCCGGTGGGCACCATGATAAACAGTTGTAAAACAGTTGCAGACATAATATTTTATACAATCTCTTGTACATACTTAACTGAAAATATACAAATGAAAATCATCATCTCTGCATATAATTTTCTAAGTTTAATGTAAATCTCACCATTGATTATTATTACTTATTCTTTGAAGCGATTAATTGAACATAAGAGCATCTGCTGTGAGCATCTGCAGAAGTACGTATATGTAGTAAGGACAGGTATTAAATAATTTTACTTAAAATGTGGACAGTAGCTATACCCTCCAAATAAAAAAAATGTTCAATTGATTCATCAATGACAGAGTTCTGAAACATATAAAGAATACATCCAAAAAGAAACCCTCCTCCTTTTTTAAAAGCTTAAACTGTTCGAGAGCTTACGTAAGAAAACTTCCTAATTATTATATCCTTAGTATGTTTGTGTTCAAACAAAACTGAATGAGATGTTTGTTGGTCAATTAACGTGGGACGCTGCCGCTTCTATTTCTGTCAGAAACGTTTCACAAACTTACACGTGTTTAATTAATCCCACAGTGTTATCTGCTCGAACAGAATTTTATTTTAGTAATCTTTTAACAAATATACGTTACATTTGGATATTTGAATCTTGTTGATATTGTCATTTAGCTCCGTTAATTTAACAGCTTAAGCCTTAAGGTAGTATTCCTTAAGATACAAAATATATTATGTCTTCTATACAAGACACATATATGACGGCATACCTACTATACATGATGTAATGCAAAGTGAGTAAACATTGCACTATTTAAATATTTTACCCGGGTATTATAAATAATGACAAGTAGGTACAATCGGGCTAAATGTAAATAACACTTATGTATAGAATTAGCGAATACACGAATAAAATTGATAACCTCCATTTTCTTTTTTATCCGATACTTGTCAACGTTACGTTTAACATATTTCTTTGTTGAAAAAATGACAAAAAGCCGTGTGGTGTCGTGGGACACCCGATAGGAACGAAGTTGTTTAAAGTTAAAACTGATTTGACACGATATTAATTACAACGCCATCTATGAAAGCGGCTATTACCTACATGTTAAAAACAATTAAAACAATTTATACATTGGTAAAATCTCCTTGCGAAATGATTTCCTATCTATTCGATAGATGGCGCTGAATGTCTGACAAGATGACACGAAAAAATATTATTACTAATCATAGTTCATACTTTCATCAAATTCATGGCTTACGTTGTATGTTATAATAAGATTTACTTTAATTTAAAAAAACTTTGACTGAAATCTGGGTAAAAGTGTACATAGCATCAACTTCTTTTGATCATTAAAGTGTTTTGAAATATATTTACTTAGTTTTATTTCCTAATTTCAAAATTTCAAGAAAAAAATATAATGTTGACATTTGGGTAGGCCGTGGAAACACTCAAAACCACCAGAAAGATAATAAAATATTAATTAACATTACAAGCCTACACTATACTCACATTTACATACTTACACAAAAAAAAAACTATACAATTCAAATTCAAAGAAAAATAAAATACGAAAACAAAATACGAAATACACCAAAAAAAAAAACCTCCGGTAAAAAATTAAATAAAGAGCAAAAAGCCAACATCACGTGGTATTCCCAGGCGGTCACCCATCCAAGTACTAACCACGCCCGATGTTGCTTAACTTCGGTGATCGGACGAGAACCGGTGTATTCAACATGGTATGGACGTTGGCGAACGTTAAAGCAAATTTAATGTATGGTATCCACAAAAAAGTGTCGCCACAAAAACAATAAAAAGACAAATAAAATAAGATTAAGAGAGTGGATTATAGCCTAAAATAAGAATTGGACAATTTATACAGCCTTAGCTAAGACAGTGAACAACCCAACAAATGTTATAGAGTCGATCACCAGCAACTATCTAACGAAGAGACACAATCATATCGGCGGACGTAGTTCACGCTAACATTGAAGGAACTAAAAATGAAAAGATAAAGAAATATATATTACTAGCTGACCAGCGCAACTTCGTCTGCGTCTCTCAATAGTAATAAATTTTCTCCGTTTTTGAAACATTCTTCATTGGTGCTCCGCTCCTATTGGTCTTAGCGTGATGATATATAGCCTATAGCCTTCCTCGATAAATAGGCTATCTAACACTGAAAGAATTTTTCAAATCGGACCGGTAGTTCCTGAGATTAGCGCGTTCAAACAAACAAACAAACAAACAAACTCTTCAGCTTTATAATATTAGTATAGATTTTTTACGTTTCTTTTTTAAGTTTTGCAAAAAGTTTATCCGATCTTGATGAAATTTTGTAGGCTAGCTGGAGGCTACAAAACCCACATTCTCACCAAATTTGGGGTCTTAATATTGATTGGAACGCGAGTTATAATTTTTTAATGTCCAGGTGTTGATAAACACAATATAAATAATTTTATTGTTATGACATGTGTTCTAATTCTAAACAAAAGAAGTTTTTATAATTTTTCTCGAAAAGTGAAGAAACTAATTAATGAAATGAAAACCAAATCCAGCGCCATCTAGTGACTAATATAAAAGTCTAAACAGAAACTGGTTCTCTTTGAACCGATATTCTTAATGCTAGAAAAAAGCAGTAGATGTCACTGTACCATATGAGTTTATTAATTTATGAAAATACTTTCTGGCCAAAAGGGCTGCGAACCAGCAACCAGTTGTCATTATAAATATCTTCTGTAGAAGCATAGATACTTTACTAAGGTGTACTAAAAATAATAATTAAAGCAGTAAAATAATCAAAATACAGAATATTGTTCGTGTGATACACGGTACATATGTCTCGGCTCGATCTGAGACCACGGTCTCGAATCGAGTTCATTCATAGTTCCACTTCTTATTTTGTCATCAATGCCTTTGCATTTTCCATGATTTAAAAATTGTTTGATTATTATACATACTATATCTTTCATTCTTTATATATGTATACTTATATATTTTCTCACAAATTTGCAATATCTGGAAAAGGTTCCTAAGTTGAGACACATGTTATAAATAAAAGGCCATAATATGTACTTACACTTAGTTGGCAATAAAACTATAATTTATAAAACGTGATGTTTTATAAATTCGTTTTCATTCATTTAAACATTTTAATCAAATTAAAGAACATTACATTACATTTAAATGTAATGAAAATTAATTATTACAATATAATAATTTGGTTTATTCAAAACATGAATAAAACATTTATTTTCATATTTTGTTCTAACAAAACTGCTTATGTGCTTTTACGATCCTTTAAATTGCTAACCAGTGACAGCAATAAAAAATAAAAAAAAGGTTAATCGTGGGGGGCACGTCTGAGCGTTCCTTCGTCGCTTTTCACCGAGTGAGTAAGGTTACCTAGGGCTGGATTAGCCATGTCGTGGTCAATGGCAATGCAATCCTCGGGCCGCTTTTGTAAGTAATAGCATCAGTAGCATCACCTCACCGATGCGTAACTCTTCGGGAACTAACAGCATTAACGGGGCCAATATGCGATGCGGGGCCCCTAGCCACTTGCCTACTCTGCCTAATGGTTAATCTGGCCCTGAGGTTACCAGAGCCTTTGTTGCCTATGGTCCACCCGCCTAGTTCACCTAGGTGGACAATGGAAAATTATTTTTGACCATAGTTCACATGGGTGTACCACGGAAAATTATTTTTGCCCATAGCTCACCTGGGTTGACCACGGGAAAATGAAAACGGTAGAACACTAATTATATTTATAAAACATTCAAGAATCAGCTACTAGCATTTTCTTCTTTGATGTTTCTAAAGTACTGGTCATATGTATACTGTCATATTTGATATGGAAAATATACATATATATAACTGTCAATTTGTTTTAAACGAGGATAATCGGTCTCATTGCAGCTCTTCCCCTTTTACCAGCTGAAGCTATGTTGGATGGCTATGAGTATATAAAAAAGAACGGCTGCGAATTGAAGATGAAGATATTTTTCAAATACCTTGACAGTTTCTGGAAAAAAGTATTTTAGCAAAATTTTATCAGTTTTTGCGGAAAGCCATAGAACAAATGACGTATTGGAGGAGTTTCATTTCAAAATTGAACAAAAAAATAAATAATAATATAATAGCGGCAACGCACTTGTGACTCTTGAATTTCATGGGCGGCTGTATATGTATGTCGCCATCAGGGGACCCGTCTGTTCGTTTGCCCCCTATGTCATAAAGATAAAAATAAAACCATAATTCGTTAAAAAAACTTGAAACTTAACATCTTTATTAACAAAGTTACTGATTACCACCACTTTTAGGAATTTTATTAGCACGGGTAATGGTGCTGCCTTCGACTTTGTATGCGGAGCAGATCGCCAGCATCGCATCAATGAAAAGTAGTGATGCGTTGGCCAGTGAACACACTGCCATAGATTGTGCAAAGTTGCGGCGGGAACATGGGGGAACGTCGCGCCACGAATGAAGAGTTAGTCCGCCGCATGCCGCAAAGAGCAAACTGCCCGTACCCGACCACCAAGCATCGATGTACGCATCCGCCGCCGCTGATACTATTTCACCTATAGAGTAATAGAATAAAAAAATTAACAAAAATTGACATCTCATTGTTTATAATAATTACTTTATTGTAGTTGTTGATGAGTTAATTACCCGGACTAATCGATACATACTCATAGTTACTCGTGTGTGCCATAAATATTTAAAAAATAGCTCTTTTAGTGGTCCAATAAAAGGTTCTTACTATTGGTAAGTACGAGTAATACCTACGTGTATGTTTAGTAAAGTGAGTTAGGATAACTTATATGGATAGGTCACAATAAAACAATATGTTAACATACAATAATAATTAAACCTTAACGTCTTTATTAAACATATGCAACACATTTAGCATTTTCATCAGTTCTACAAGTTGTGCTCCCTTCTTCAACCTTTGCTGAGCTGATTGCGACGATCGCATCGATAAAAAATAACACAGCGTTTGCTAGAGCACATGCTGCACAGGCTGTGGCCAAGTTGCGGCGGGTACATTGTGGGACGTAGCGCCACGATTGGAGGGTTAAACCCCCGCAAGTTGCAAAGAGACTACCGCCAATTCCTGACCACCAAGCATCGACATACGCATCCGCCGCTGCTGACACTAACTCACCTATCAAAGTATATTATATAAAAATGTTATATAAGATTCCATTGAGACTCACGTCACAACATATACTACAGCCTTTGTCATTAACATTAAAAGATAAGATAAAAGTTAATTTAAAATTAAAACAGATAAATTTTTGTACTGTATGGACATATCTAGACTGTACCATTGTCGCTAAATCTGTTGTCCAGTTTTTAGCGTTCTATAAATAAAGCTCTTGACAGACTGCTCGAGATTTCAAAAATCACTTTAAAGCTAGGTTGAAGCTATCATTCGGTGCAAGTGTGTATGATAAACAAAATGTGATTACAATGCATTACCTACATGGACAACCTACTGACAAATTGTGTGTAGGCGTGACATGTGTCTACTAACTTGAGAAGATTCAACAAAGCCGTTAATGCAACCTAAATTACGATAAGCTGATAAGCCACATTTATATCTATGGACTCATGGTACTGTTACACTTGTGTGTAAAATAGTGATTAAAGAGGGTAACACAATACTATGTACGCGGTTTGTTTAAGTAATGACATTTTTTTTTTTCGGCAAAGGACTTAAGGACTTAACTTACCTTTTATTAACTCTTGCAAGCTTTATCATACATACATATATCAACAGAGTGCCGGATTAAGCCTGCGCGGGGCCTGTAGAAAATTCTATCAAGGAGCTCTTGACTTGTTTTAGATTGTCTAGTTTACGGTATTTATGATCATCAACAACCTATAATAATCCACTACTGGACATAAGCCTCTAATTAGAAAGGACTTATTTGCCTACTTTACCAGGCTGGCCAGACGGGTTGGTTATACCAGTCTCACACACACAAGTTTCAATAAACTAACCCTATAAGGTTTGTTTGTAGTTTATGACACCGGCCCATGTCGTGAGATGCTCTACGGGGGTCTGATATTGGGGATCTTGGGCCCCTCATGTGGAACATATGGCCCTTCAAGGAGACTTGTCTCTTTGGTGGTCGGATGGCCCTGGATAAGACGGAGGCCCTCTCGTTTCATGAGCCCCGTCGTGGTCCACCCCTTGGCGCCTCAATCGTGGTTAACTCGGTAATCGTACCGGTTCAGGCCCAGATGAATTATCCTTGAGGTGGTGGCTCTTTGACGTATACTTCCGACAGCTTACTCCAGAGCTGGTTGGCGCTGCGTCTGGGTTACTTTTGCGACAAGACGGCTGTACACGGGGTTGTCCGGTCAATGGCACTGAACGACGCACCGGTGAAGAGGGCGGCTCATACAGCCCAAAAAAGACGCACCTCTGGCGCCCTCAGAGGTGCGCCTCGTCTGTCGTCCCGGCTGGAGGCTCCACGTGCTGGTTTTGCTGTAGCAGAGGCGCTCCACCCGGTTATCGTGTTATCGGGCAGGGCGGCAGCACGGGATCTTTTCCTTCCTACTGATGCAGATCCTTTCCGGGTACGGCTGATTATGCCCTCAGCCGCTAGGAGGGAATTAAGTCTTCTCTGTCATCACTACGATTGCAGTGAGGAGTCGTCTCAGCACACCCTGGCAACTTGCTCAGCATGTCTCAAAACATAATTTCTGGTGCAACCAACGCTCACTTTTGGAAATATGCTAAAAGTTTAAAGTATAGGTGGACATTTAGATGCAACTCTTTCGTGATAAGAGTTGTGGCTATATTGATTTGAAAAATATTTTCACAGTTCGATCGAAATAAGTATATAATTGTTTACAGTCAGAAAGCGTTGTTGCGCGGGGCTCCCAAATGTGCGGGGCCAACAATAACAAGCGATTATTATTCCCTGAACTATACCTACTGGTCTAATCTCTACTAATATTCCGAAAAATATGTTCACCTTACTATACACTGGTTTCTTCATCAAATTCCTCAGAATCCAAGTAAGCCAAACTTAAATCGAAAAACATGAAAACTGCATTCAGGATGGAGATTGATGCAAGCAGAAGGGCCGCGTTGTGATCTCCTGTCTTCGGATACACTGATCCTCTGGTTCTGGCTGTCATTACAAGTCCTCCGGTCGCGGAAAACAAGCAGACCCCGAGGATACCAAAGTACATGTCTTGGACGAGGTCTAGCGGTGCGAATAACATCTCCCCTAGAATATTTAAGTTGCTAAGAGTTCAACAAAAACACTGTGAGGCGAAGGATATGGTTATGAAGTTGAATGAATAATATTGAGAGATTTTTCGGCTTTCTGTAAGGGTTTATGGTTTGAATTTGAATGTATCTATACAATTCAAACACTATAATATTTGTTTTATAAATTATTCCTGATTTCTAGAAATTTCAGCGATTTTTTTCCAACAAAGTATAAAATATCACAAAAAAATCGGTTGTTGCATATTGTCTACAAGCTGGTACCCGAGACTTTGTTCGTGTTTTTTCGAGAAGAAAAATAGCCTAAGTTACTCCTTATAGAAAACAGCTACATGGTAGTAAAATTTTATCAAAATCGGTGGTGCCGTTTAGAAGATTAGCCAGAACAAACAGACAGACAGACAACAAAATTTTTAAACCGGGTTTTAGGCTAAAAACCTATTATTTTGACGTTACAAACAGACACATCAATTTTATTTATTTGTTTAGATGTAGTGCCATCTACAGAATATTTACTAGCGAATTTTGGTGTATTTCCCTTCTTTCGGTTACGTGTCAGAGAAGAAGGGGTTAAATTTTTACCTACTATCGAAAATTCTACTGAGATTTTTTTTGGCAATTAAGAAGTTAATAGGCGAGAATCCATTTCCATTGTGAAGAGACAGAATTGTGTACATTAATTGATCAAAGCTAACATAAATATATTGGCCTAATTGGGTATCATATCTCAAATGAATTGTTCTAATCTTCAGTTATCCTACTTGTTGAAAACTATACGAGGAAGGCTTACTATTTTGTTAAATAACAAATACAGTAGGTGTTTACTTTGTGTTAATAATAAATAATATTCTATACTATAATATATATTTATACTAAAAATTGAAGTGCTTTAAAACAAAGTAAATTTCACCTATTTGCATGCACTTAAAAATTATCATGTGGTTAGTTTAGATACAGATAGATGTAATAATTATACTATAAATGCGGCTTAGTGCTTTAAATAAATGTATTATCTAACGACAGACAAAGAAAATAAAACTATGTATTTTCTACTATTAATAATATTTAGATAGAACTATATAATAATGTAATATGTGCAGTACAGTGATTAAATATCTCACCAACGATTTCCCCGGAGAGAACTACCATGTATCCGACGTATGTCCCGGAGCATAGCATCAGTGTGGGCAAGTCTGTCAGGTCGTAACTGTAGTGGTGCAAAACTAGACACGCCACTGTCAACATCTGCGGAATTGCACATACAAAAATGAAAATACATTATATTTTCTACGTAGGATTATTCTAAGATAACTAAGCTAACAGTGTCGTATTTATTTTTAAAAGGTTTCGTAAATGATTAGTATACTTATTGTAATACAGTGTCAGTATTTTTTTCTATGGTATCTTGCAAACAAGCAAACGGGTAGCCAGAGGGGTAAGTAACTACGGCTGCCCATAGGCACCTGAAACACAAGAGGCACTAATGCGTTGCCGGGATTTGAGTGCCCATGCGGCCATCCCCCAAAATTAATATTTATATATATATATATATATATATTTACTACATTCACACAACGCCATCTAGTCCCAAACTAAGCAGAGCTTGTACTGTGGGTACTAGACAACTGATATAAATACATATATACTTTTGGAATAGCAGTCCGTTACACAAACCACTATGCCATTCGGTCGTCGAAAATTTGAAGGCGAAATTAGGCTGAGAGGACCCGTAACCTCACTTTTAAATAAAAAAATACTAATAATAACAATAATACTTTAATACTAATACTACTTTTAAATAACACCGGTTTTCTATGAGGCCGTGATATTACATATAGGATCTCTCACAATACTTTATAGGCCAAATGTTTCCTGCAGTCAAAGTATTGGCAAGACGTTAAACCTTCACCGTATTGAGTAATTCGCTGGGAAAGAATGAGCATTTGTCTAGTAAGTAGGTACGTATAAAAAAGAAATGGAAATTCATAATACGATTGACAATTAATAACGAATAGCCTAAATATGAATTTTGTGGCGTATCGGTAGTACAATAGAAGGAATTAATGTAAAAATATTTACATAATAATACATAAATACAATAATAACAATTTAATTGAATCTCAAATAAAAAATTACATCATTATTCAGGGTGCAGGGTTTTTTTAATATATTACTCAAACCCCCTAAATATGTCTCAGAGGTTCCTATTTATTTAACTGGGTAAGCCCTTGACACATATCTAATTAAATAACTCAATGTTAACTAATCTAGCAATTAGTGCGTGAAATGTCACGTTTGTAATTCCCTATGGATCAAGAAGTATGTGTTCAAGAATATAAATTACGTAATACTAGATGGCTCAAAACATAAGAATTTTACTTTATTAATTTATTCTTATGCCAACTAAATATATTAGGCAATATATTCAATAATCAAGAAAAGAATAACATTTAACATGCACATAAATAGTAAAGTAAATATTCAGAAGAGAAAAGTGTTTTAATATGATAACTGGATAGAAGCGTAGTTTTCTGAAGTCCTGACTCCGACAAAGTGAGACAATTTACGAAGTTAGCCCATAGCCCATTGCATGAGCTGACACGGTTCTATATTATAGTATACTCACAATGCTAATAATTTACTGTAAGTCTATGAATATTTTGACATCGTGTTTCTGCGATACTTGCGGCATTATTTCCATTTGTTTTCCGTCCACATATACATTAGTATTTATCAGTAAATTTAAATTTACTTTTCAACTATAGCTACTACTACTAATATTGTAAGTATATTTACGAGTATATACACGATTATTTTTACTTACTAGTTCACAGAATTTGATGAGGCAAGTAGGAATTAACATTGTCTTATAGTTTTACATATAAACTAAAATAACTAAGAAAAATTTGTATAGCACAAACGAATAATGTAACCTAAACGACATTTATAATCTGTAACATTTTTCGTTGAAATAAAAATAAGGTTTTATTGGAAGGAGATTGACGTAGTGTTTGTATACTCTTTGGGAGGTTAAACATAAATTAATTTGAGAAAATTCATAAAATGCCTTCCTGTGTATATCTCTCAATACGAAAGGGTAAATAAAGATAAAGGAATATCATACCACAGGTTAGGTTACTTTAAGTTGCTTCGATCTCCACTTTACGTTACTTTAACCGACTAACAAAATCAAGAGCTTCCCCATCCGGTTGAATTTTTAAATGTTTTTTACCTTATAACTTCGGCATTTATGAACCGATTTAGAAAATTATTTTATCCAGTTGGAATTTGCTACCTGTACAATCAAAATTTTTAAAATATACCACAACTAAGGAAGAAAATTAAGGAATGAAGAATATAGTTTATTATACTTCATTATTAAAAGTAACATAATTATGGATTAGTATACTGACTTTTATGTTTGTTTTAGGTACTAAATTTTTTATATGCACACTTCTACTTGTAGCATTCCCTTCTGGAAATTCCTGCCTGTCTGCCTTATGACAGCCATGGAAGTGTACATTATAATTATATATCATAATTATTTCTATGATAATTCTGTTTTTATTGGGAATACCCTAATATAAAAATATAATGTCAGAGCAACCTAGTTACTAAATGACATAGATATAGTACCAAAGAAAGACTCAGACACGACATACTAAACCCTAAAACTATATATCTAATGTTAAAGACAACGACGAGTTGAGTCACATGCAAACGATTTGGTGTTGGTAACATCTCAACATGCAGCGACATTCGACGTGCACTGTTTATTTGGTACTATGATATATTAATTTAAACTCTAAATAAAACTAAAATGTAGTATTCGGTGACGGTTGGTGACATTAAACAAGTGACGTCACACATCATTCGATTTCAGGCCTTAAATAACCTTACTAATGTCAATGTGTGGGCAGCTCCTTTTTGCCTTGCATCAGACTATGATCAGATTAGATCAATCTTTAGTAGTCTTAAATGTCATTGGTAAAAAAAATGTAAAAAAAATTAAACAAATAATATGAACTCCATTTCTTTTTTCTCATAAATACAGCCTATAACACACGTTGAAAGTTAGCTCAGTAATGTAGGTAATGTGGCACAGGCTACTTAAAAACTCACATGCATAAATGATAATTCTTTTTGTTGACTTCGATGCAGTAAAGTGAAAGACACCTTACCTTCTACAGGTGGTCGGTAGACATTTAGGTATTGTGCAAAATCGAAACGTATTGTACCTACCTACCTAATGCTCTATAGTCTATACGAAATGCATTAACGGATTTTCGCAAATTACGTCAGTTCCAGTGCAGAACCATAGTAAATTAAACTTGAAATAAAATGTCGATGCATTACATCCTATTTCGTAGGTATAAAAATATTAAATTGAACATAGATCCAGTATTCCGTGACTCTTGAAAGTTCAAGGAATCTTCGAGGTGTACTCCAATTTCATTTACTTATTATTGGTTCAAACAAACAAAGAATCGATTGTACTTCGGCCTTCTTCAAACAATAAAATTTTTGATGCTAAAAAATGGTTACGAAATCTAATATTTTGTGTTGATATTGCCTTGTGGAAATTGCTAAAATAATTGACAAAGTCGTAATGTGAGAGGGATCAATAGATATAAAATAATTCCATTCACAACAGTAAAATAATTATAAAACGAACTCCTATATTTACTGGGCCGTTCACTGCTAATTTTCTTATAAAGGTTTTTAATTTTTTGGTTTCGCTATGTGTGTATAGATAGTTCAACTCAGTTGTGCGCGCGGCCCTATGTGTGCGTGGGCTTGTAAATATACAATTTTCATTCGTGTGGCAGTCGTCGTCCGACTGCCGCGTCACTGCCACACGAATGAAAGTTGTATATTTACTACCTACCCTTACTGCTTGCACATGGGTTTAGTTGGAATTTAATCCATGCGGAGAGTCCAAACTAATCTACTGTCTTTCATTTTTATATTTTTCCTAGCAATTAGTATCGAAGCAAGTGCTGTAAATTACCACCTAACAAATCCTTTCAAAACAAGCTTTGAATTTGTTACATAGAACTTTATTTGACACCCCGGCCACGAGACAAATTTAAGCGGCTATAGTTTACTAAAAAGTGAACGTGATTTAACATGGAAGTATCAATATTACTACTTTACAGTCCTATCGTGATTTCCGCATCACTTTTAGAGAAAAAAAAATACATTATATGTCCAGGCAGAAGGGACATTATAGGTATTATCTCCTTTTTTACATTTTCGTGTTTAGGTCGGGATCTACTATGTGACAAGGTATTACATTTTTAATTTTTCACTTAGGTCAGGAGATTAGTTTCTCTTTAAATAGCCCACGGGGGACAGAAAAGTTAATGCGGTTTGCATGGAAAATATATTCAACATTAAACTCTATTCTGTGGGAGTCAATTTTGTAAAATAAATTGTTAGCTTTACTACTTAAGTAGATACTACAAGCCTGTTGGTCGAGTGGTCAGTGATCCTGGCTATACTTCCGATACAATGTGATATGGCAATACATTTAGTACTATGTAATAAAAATGAATGAATGATTGATGAATAAAACTTTGCTTATCAATTTACACTAGTACATTCTTATATTCACATTTTTTGTTGGTCAAATGAATACTAGCAGTAATAATGCTGGCTCTCATCTAGACAGGAGAAATCGTCAGTTAAAAACATTCCGAAATACTAGTTCGGTTGTAATTTATCTATAATATGTTTATATTTATATAATTTAGAAATATGTATTTTGGTATGTTAAGCAGGAATCTAGTAACCATAGTACAGATTCTGCTTAGTTTGGATCAAACAGCCGTGTGTGTGATATCGCGGCGGTTGCTGCGTAGTGGTTGGCTGCTGTGTAGACGGGAGAGAGATGCTCTTCTACTGTAGATACAGTACAGGGCCTCAATTCTGCTATTTTATGTTTACGCCAAGCCACTGTCAGTGACACGCTATTGAGATGCCATCGAGTGGCCATTGGCATCGGTATAAATATCGGTAGTTGAAAATATATTACGTTTTTTGTGGAAATGATTTATTTATTTTTATTAAAATAAATTAGTGTGCACATGTGTGTATCTGATGGTCGCAAGCATATAGCCGTATACTAATACTATTTTTGTCATTAGTGTTACAGCTTAATCGCGGTCTTTTCCATTTAACAATAAACTACCAACCAAATCCATCAGAGTCTAGATCTTTTTTCCCCTAAGTAATTCGCTACGAGTTTCCAACCTATCAAGTTGAAGAGGTAACGGAATGGTGGTGTGGGTCCATCTTTGCTCGAAATCCCAAGACATAAAAAAGGCATTATCTTTCCAACATATAAACAGGAAGGATATTCTTCCTAACACGGAATCAATAAAATTATAGAATTTTGCGGTTGGATTGATTTTTTATATCCGTCTCATAAAACGTTCAGGTCAAAAGTTAGAAGCCCATAAAAAAACCTATTTCCCAACAGAACGTTGCATTTCAACGTGCTTGTTTTTGTTATAAATTTATTATAAAAAAAAGACCATTGACTTTGTCCGGGTTTAAGTAACTACTACTAGTTATTTTGGTGGCTAACACTGCTGTGGCGGTAATGCTATTTCTAATTTTCTCTTTGATTTGCTTCTTTCAGATTCCTACGATGATTTCGACGGATGGTTTGAGTCAGAATGATCTGATACAAACCATACCTGCCATCACAGACACAGTTAGAGAATGCACGTGTCGTGAACTGAACTTGTTTTTATTATTTCTTTTAAATGTAAAAAGTACAAATCAAATAGATTTAGATCCTAGTTAAAAATGTTTAATGAAGATGATAATGTATATGTATGTGTTCAGACGTGTAGTAAAATAAGTATTTTCACAAGTAACGTAAGTAAATAACTGTCATTATTTCTACTATAAATACATTTTCCTACACATAGTTATTTAGACCCGAACTAAGCAGAACTTCTATTAAGTAAACATGCTTGAACACACTTTTTATTAAAAACGAGTGCATATAGACATTTTTATGCATACATATACACTGAACCCGCATCGGACCCGTGACCTCCAAACTTTGCTGTAAAAATTATGTAACCGGCGGCGCCTGTATTTTTATGGTTGGCATCTATCTGAACCTCCTTTCTAAGGAGAGGCTTATGTCCAGCAGTGGACTATTAAAGGCTGTTGATGATGATGATGATGATCTATCTAAGATAAACATTACATATATGTATATATATATATATATATATATTACCATAGCCATAGCACAAATTAAATCAACCCGTGATCATAAAATGGTTGAGTAAATACTATGTAAGTATAGGAAAATTCTTAAATACTGTGTATTTACAATTAAAAATAATTTTTGATTTCTTTTTTTTTTCATTGTTACAGATCATATACAATACAAGCCTTTTGTAGAAATGTCCAAATTAGAAATACATAGTATAATGAAAGAAGAAATACATAGTGTACATGCGGCGCAAAGGTTAAACAACAAAAATTAGACGAACTACAAACAGACCTCTCAACCTGCCAGGATACTAACTTTTACTGACGTTCATAATAGTAAACTGTCCGATATTCGGCATCAAAAACTTGAAAATGGGTATTTACGTACACTTAAGCAAAAAAGAACAGGGACCTATTCTCATTTCTTCAATCATCAACATTAATGTGTTGGTAATGCCGTACATTGTGCAATGACTTCAAGAAAAGAGACGGAAGTGTGTAACAGGAAACAGAGGAAGCGATAGAATATTTAGACATCCGCAAGTTAATGAAAGAAATAATATATCCCAATACCTGTCTGGAAACCCAGCTCATTCTTCTCATTAGTCTCAGTCTTTGAAATCGTGTCAGTTACTGGGCTTACTGATCGTAAATATTACATGATTATTCAATATAATACGGTGTTAACCCCATATTAACAACTTATTAAACTGCATATCTGGGGTTTCACCAACGTGCCAATGCTCGCAATGTCAGATATAAGCAATATTGCATTTACATAGCAATGCTGAGATGTGTTTTTTTATGTTCAAGTAACTTAGTAGCTTTTTTATTTAATCTGTCCAACCAAAAAATAATGATAGGCGAACACAGATCCTTTCATACATAATAATAAACAAAATGCTTATAGTAGGTGCAATGCAATTTATTCCCGCAGGTTAATTAATAGATCCTTAAAGAAAATAAAAACCAAATTGTTACGCCAGCAAATTTTTCAGACATTTCTACAGGTTTTAGACAACATTATTCAGCCAATATAATCTATACAATACAGATACAATTTTTCAAAGGTGATTGGTGGTTTTAAGGATTATAATGGCTACCAAACAACCAATCAAAGAAAAATACCTAACTCCTTAGATTTTTGAAATTTCCACTAATTCAACATATTTTGGTCGTGTGACTAATAGTGTTCTAGAGAGGTGTAAGATTCAAGTTGACTACCACACGTATTGCCTTTTTAATTGTTATATAGCAACGCGAAATCTCCAATACCTAGAATTTACTCTTTATTGTAGTTAATATAGTATAGATGTTAAAGAATAAAATTTTGACTTACCAAAAGCCATCAATTGTCACCGAGCTTTATTAAAGAAACTTGTGCAGAATAACATAAGTGCCCAGAACAGTACATAGTTTCAGAAACGGTGACCCAGTGTTCGGTAAAACGATAAACGTAATACATAATTTTCTCAGACTATGGCAAGAGGTTCACCTTTCAAGATCAAGATAATCTTGGAAAAGTACGGTTTGCGTTTGTTTATAGCCAATCTTCGATAGAAAATATTGCTTGAAACTAAATATAAGTGTAGTCGGATCGCGTTGATTACATTCCCTCGGTGCTTATTAAATCCTTCAAGATGGCCGGTTACATGATTGTGTTTTTATTTTTATTGCAGAGTTTGCTTATCGAATACCTATTGATGTCTGCAAATAGATAGTATTTACAAAAAAATATCTGAGAATTTCAAGACCATGCCACAGTTCAAAATATTACTTTCATATAAGAATTGCAATTGGTTGCAAATACGACGATTAAAATTCGAATAAAACTAAACAACCTATGTGACTTTCAAAAAATAGTAACATACATAAGTACGAAGTACAAAAAGTAGTAAAATAAAATAATAAATTTGAATATTTTTTTAAATAATATTTTTACTTTTTAAACTTTCATCGTGTTTCTTTTTAAGTTAAAATTTAAAAGAAATATATAATCTACTATGTATATTTTTACTTTACTTATACTTATGTACATACTCGTATACATTGCCTACCGTAATCTCTGATACTGACAAATAGCAGTGCCCATTACATACAATTTGAACCTCTAATTTAAGTTACACGAGCTCCTTAACTATTTTACCTTATTTTGATACGAATTACATGATTTGTCTGCAATTGACCGAAAGTAATGTGACTAATCCGTTACACCATCTGTCTCATCGTTAGAAAGACAAATTCGGTTCAGTTTTATACCAGTTTTCGTATTTAATTTGTGAGTACTATACTGATTCATAACATCAATAGATGAAAACTTTAATTAAAAATATGAAAACTTTAATTTAAAATGATTCACAAGATTATAAAATGTTTCCCATGAGAGTGTGGAGTAAGTGTGAGGAGGTGTGCCAGGATTAAATTAAAGGAACAACTCCTTAAACTGTTTTGAATACATATAATTTGTTTTAATAATGCCCTTGACATATCTCAAACATGGTCGTCTGATTCCAAATTAATCAGAGCCTGTGCTATGGTAACCAAACTACTGATAAGCATACTTAAGCATGACTAAGTACATAGAAACACACCTAAAATCAGAACAAATCACTTAGCAGTCAGGGCAGCCAACCATTAGATAGACCAACAAGCCAGTCAAGAATATTTAAAGGTAAGAAATTAATTGTATCAATTATCGATTTATAGGCCTATGTCCAGCAGTAATAGGCTAGTAGACTGTAATAGGCTGGGTGATGATGATGGGGAAATGGGCAAGCGTTCCATTCACCACGTTGGTCGCATTAGATCTGTATCTGTTCGGCTCTGGTAACAAATCTGCTTCTGCCGACACTGTTCCAAGTTAAACATTGCCGTCCAGCTGTACATTATACTATCTTTCAAATCAAATCAAAACAATATTTATTTGTAGAAACATAGGTAACCTAAGAAATCACTTAAAAAATCTGCCATGCATCAGGTATACGGTATCAATTTGTATAAATACATTCGAATTTTATGATGTTACATTTACAATTTAGGGCAATAATGAGGCAGATTATATCTAAAAGAATCACCTGTCTACCTGACATCTTTTGATCACTGGGCCACAAAAGGCATGGTGCTGACATAATCAATTATCGCAAGAAAAAAGGTCTCAACGACGAAATGGTGAGCTAAAAGGTGGACCAATGCACTAATTTATTGTAAGAAATAATAATCACCTATTGAAATCCGTATTTATCGATGCAAACTTACTATCAGTCTGAAGTAAATCTATCAGTATGAAGTTTACTTGAATGTAGCTCTTAAAGTTTGGAATTTTGACAAACAAAAACGTTTACCTAAAGAACATTGGCACTAGCTTAAAATCATTCATTACATCCCTGATGTTACTTGACCGTTGAAAAATAAATGCTTGCAAATCCAAAGCATCTAGGTGACTACTCACCAGGAACGTATTTTTGTAATTATCATAGTTAGAATTACGTAAACAATAACTTAGTTTGTGTTGAGTATTCATGGTTTCTCCCCAAGGCTAGTAATAAGCAAATCTGCACCCAAATTTGGAAATTTAGAAGTGTCTGAAAATAATACTTTTGGTTAAGAGTGCCATTCTAACGGCGAAGATACTTTGGAACAGGACTCAAATTAAACCGAAATAACGAATGTTTGTTCAATTTTTTTGTCTATAAATGTGTAGCTTTACCTGGTGGGAAAAACTCTTTATAAAACTAATACTACGATTGTGAAACTATATCTGTCACTTAACTACTACGGCATACGTCAACGGCATTATCATTAAATACAGCTTATGTTTAAAAAACTAATAAAACTTTGCGTTTTAAACATTTCAACTATTGCCGGTTCATCCATAATTTATGTTAAAATGTTGTTACTGTTTCTGGTTTCAACGAAAGCTAACACAATCCAAAATTAATTTGTAGTAGCTATGTAAAAGTTATATTTGGAATGGGATCTCAATGTTAAACAATATCATTAAGAACACTTAAAGCTTCAATAATTATCCAATAAAGATGAACCTTGTAAATGCGCCGTTTTGACGTTCTATATTAAAAACAATTATTGCGCAAATATCGGCAGAACTACCGTCGCATGAGGATAGGAACAAGATCATTTTCAAGTAATTGTCGTTGACGGGGCGCCGCTCGAACGGTCACGGACTCGAACTTCAATGTTATGTGACATTTACACAAAACCAACTTACCATCCACTTGTTTGAAATTGAAAGTTCCCTCATATGCAATCCTTGCTAATTTCAAAAGTCAGGAATTACCTACAATCATTTCAAGAATCCATTATATTCCTAGTTTGGTTTTAATTAGGAAGTGATTGTAATTGGATTAAATTGCAATCTTAGGGAGCTCACTACAATGAATATTTTTTAAGCTGATAAGATTATTTTAAAACACTATTTTATGTATACCTTAACGTAATAATTACATTTCGTCTAATAGTCTCACTATCTTTAACTCTAAGCGTTTTGACTCTCGAGGCGACAACAATTGCATAAAATGTCAACTCGATAGTCATCTGTATAAATTATTTACGGTTGCCTTCGTATGTTTATAATAGAAATCAATTATTGATTTCTTCATAACGATTATAATTATTACTGGTAGTATAATTTGTATCTTTGTTGATCATTTAAATATTTAGGATAATTTTACAACCATAATCTTACACACACAAGTTAAGAATTTGTATTAAAATTGTAATAAAAAGGTATGTGAACAATAAATTCATTTATAACTTTTGTGAAACTCAATGAGAAATAAAATATTAGGTATATCTTGCCAATTGAACTCTCAAAAGTAGTTTTTTGATTCTCATTTATAGGATAATGAAATGAAACTAAACTGACATAGTCCTGGTATATGAAAATAAATGCTTTGCTACTTTATTGCTAATGAGTGATATCTGAGCTGCCGTACATTTGCAGATTCCTATCATATATGTATTTATAATACATCATACGATACACTTCAACGTGAACCGTTAGGAAAACTGTTATGGAAATAGCTTACACAACTAATTATGTACTTATAAGCTTTCGCAAGTGCGAACTGGAGTGTTGCAATAAATTTGCACACAACTTGACTTAGTTACACGTCATGTACCGATGAAACTATTTCAGCAAAGCGCCTAAGGGCAAGATGAAAGGCTTATAGGAACAATATATCCGTAAAGGGATTCCAGGTTAGCAGAATGTTGGTGAGTTCAAATCGTGGGGCAATAAGATGCGGATTTACTCGACGATATCGGAGGAACACGCACAAGGTGAGGCAACTGAGAAAGGGCAAATCGGAGCAATATAAAACGAGGCACATCCTTCCAAACAGTATTCAGTAAACAACTGAAGAGCAAAGAGCGCCTCTTAACTTGTACAAAATAATTATCGACATGACCACATCATTGGTAAGTCGACGATAATCCATAAACTAAACTCGTAAGAATAGTTTTTCTTCATGCCCTTAGAGTAATATTTCGTATAAATAGTATTTCTGAAAAATTGCTTTGTTATACATTTTTTTCTATTGGATTTTTGTTACATTTGCCGGCACTCAGTTTAAGATAGAGATCTGTACTCAGAAGAGTATAAGGATACTACTAGATCTCCAAGTATAACAATAATAATTCTTAATATTATGTAATTCTCGAAAACGTTATCTATAAATCTGCTAATAAAACTAAAATCACTAGTATGTTTGTTAATAAAATCATTATTAAACCAAAGTAAAGCTACGAAATTAGATCATTTCTAGAATAAAATTACTTTATATAGAATATTTTATGTTTTCTAGACTTAAATGTCAGATTTTATAAATAAATAACTTACAATGATATATGTATATCTTTCACGGCGAGAGCAAAAACCTTAGTGAGAATATTTTTTATTATCATGTGTCAGTTAGTGCTGATATTAGTTTAAGTGATGCCTAAAGTAACAAAATAAATTCTTACTTTCAGTTGATACTGTCTATGGCTCTGATAGCGATCGCGTCATGTGGTCGTTTAGAACCTCAGTACCTTCCACCACGTCCAGGTGGCGGCGGCGGTAGTGGAGGAGGAAGTGGTGGCCAAGGCGGAGGTTTTGGCGGTGGAGCTGGAAATGGAGGACTCGGTGGTGGTTTTGGTTCTGGAGGCGGCGCAGGAAATGGAGGACTCGGGGGTGGATTCGGTGGCTCCAGCGGTAGTGGATCGTTTGGCGGTGGCAGCAGCGGCAGTGGAAACCAAATACCAATCACTAAATTTGAAAACGTGAACAATGGCGATGGAAATTACCACTTTGAGTATGATATTTTTTTAAAGAGCTGCGTTTTGTTTTATAGTTCTATAAAAAAAAAACTAGAGTTGAATCGAACCAGAGATCAAACAAAAACCAACCAACGATAATTCAATAGACAAGTTCTTCTCACACATAAAATTTAATAACCGTATAACCAAATCCAATTCTCATTTTAGATACGAGACTGGTAATGGTATATCCGCTCACGAAAGTGGTGCACCGCGCGCCCAAGGTCCTGAAGGGCTTGCAGTGACAGCTGAGGGTGGATTCTCGTTCCGCACACCCGACGGCCAGCAGATTCAGCTGACATATACCGCTGATGAGAACGGTTTCCATCCCGTCGGACCACATCTACCTACCCCGCCCCCAATTCCAGAAGAGATTCTTCGTTCTATTGAGTTCAACAAGCGCAACCCATCCTCGTAAGTAAAAACGTAATTTAAATTACTTTGATGCCATGTCACATAAAATTCTTCTATACTCATTTGAGATTTGAAGTCCAGGTAGTATGAGTCAAAGATATTTGTAGAAGGGAATCGATGTTCGGAGAATATGAACTGCAATTAAAAACACAAATTTATAAATAACTAGCTGACCCGGCAAACGTTGTTTTGGCATATACATTATATCTAGAAAATATAAAAAAAAAATTGGGGTGGGTCACCCTTGTCATTTAGGGGAATGAAAAATAGATGTTGGCCGATTCTCAGACCTACCCGATGTGCACACAAAATTTCATGAGAATCGGTCAAGCCGTTGCGGAGGAGTACGGGAACGAACATTGTGACACGAGAATTTTATATATGAGATTAGCTTTCGTCCGCGTGATGATCGACATTAGACATCGTAGAGGATACAATGAATCAAGATTATAGGTATATGTATAATCCCCATACAAACTTACACCCCTTTTTAAGAGTAGTTTTGAAAAATTAGTAACAACGTTTTATTACTTTTAATAAAGTGTATTTACTGTGAGTTTGAAAAAGCTATTACCAAAAATACCGAAGTTTCATATAGAGATTTGCACTCTTAGGGGTAGCATTTTTAAAAATTCTTTCATAGTGCATACCTGCGTCACCTAAAGGAAATTAGTGCAAAAGATCATTCAATGAATCAGTTTGCCAGTATTTTTTATAGAAATAGATTATACATGGAGTACCCCGTAGGTTCACCTGTTGATAAAAAAAAAATGTAATTACTATTTTGAAACACGAGAACCAATTACATAACCGTTATCACTAAGACATATATAGGTACATACCACGTCTTTTATTGCATATCAGAAGGTTGACTTACATCCATCATCATCCACAGCCTTTAATAGTTCACTGCTGGATATAGGTCTCTCCTTAGAAAGGAGGTTTGAGCCTATGATACCACGCTCGCTAGACGTCATGGTATAGAGTTTGAGTTAAGTTTTCCTTCTCTTTGCAGTGCTGTTGTCTGTTCACGACACCCACGGGATTAGTAGGGGTGTTGAAACTCTGTATTCTTAATCCGTCACCATACGGAATCTTACATACATAGTTCTCTTGAATTAAATTTTGTAGATAATAATTAAATTTTCTAGAAGCTTATTAGAAGATCTGTAGTATCTAATTCAGCTTTACGTGTAAGGTCTCCATAATTCGTTAAGCAAGTATTACTATACTATATAAGTTAGGACAAACGCAATTTCAGGAGAATATTAATAATTTGGCTATGAACTAGTGTCAAAAAATGTCGACGTGGTGTTGATATCAATCAATTACAATAGTCTTTATTCAGTAATAATATTTCACAGTTTTGTGTATCAACTATTACACAATAAATGTTAATTGTGAGAATTATTAGCGGTCAACGGCATAAAATCTCTGTCTATTAGGTGTTCTAACATTTCCTACAATACTGAATGTACATTGGAAATAGTACTTGATTTGTAATTGAGCCAAATGGGCGGCTCTATTTATTTCAATTACAGACACTTTATACAATGATGTAAGATTAAAATGCTCCAGATCCTGATGTGAAAGAGTTATTTCGATGTTATAGTTAAACTTTAGCCTAGTGTTTCGATTAAGCAAACGCCTGCAGTCATAACGAAAGAACCGCCCAGTATAAGATCCACAAAAATTACTTGTTCTTTTGACAGCCCTGTGATTACTGTGTATTTTGAGTTTATCTTTCATTTTGACATCTGATTTTGAATTTCTATTTTTTTTGGCGTTTACAAGATTACTCGGAACAAACAGACAAAAAAAATTAAACTGGTTTTTAGGCATAGGTATCGTGCAAATAACCGTGTGAGCATGAAAAAAACCTATAATTTTGACATTACAAACATACACTTCAAGTTTATTTATTTGTATAGATATCAAAAGTGTCGGCATCTATGACTAATATCAACGTTGGTTGTACTGGTTGAATAGACATATTATATTCTATATTATGTATTATTATGTATATTGAAAATTATTTACTAGGTAAATGTTTCTCTTTTCTTGAATTCAAATTAAGTAACAGAGTACATACTCAGAAGATTCCTACAGGCGTCGTCCTAAATCAGTAGACCCGTATAATTAGAAAAATTAAAGTACTCATTACCCTGGCAGAGGAAAGGTCCCATAACTGAAAAATCGCTGTTAAGTACTTTAACACGAACGGAACTATTTCGAGGGCTAAAGTCAAAATTTCATCATGATGCCTTTAATTCAAAATAAAAGGAAAAATCAGTTGTGTTTCATAGGTTTTTTTATTATTAACACTAAAACAGCTCATCAATAACTACTAAACAAGAAAAGGTTATTGTGTTGCCGATTTATTTATAAACAACAATTTCGCTAAATGCTGGTTTTGAAATTTCTTAAAGGAATTGATTTCAAAGCAAGACACCAAATTTCCCCTTAAGTCTTAATTTCTTGATTCTTCAAGTCTCAAAAAATCTTCTATATTCCTTGGACTACAAATACTTACAAAGCAAAGTCAACAGAATGAAAGATTGATTGTTTTTCAGGGGTGAGGGTTCTTACAACGGCGGTGGCAGTTCCGGCGGCAGCGGCAGCGGTTCCGGATCGGGCGGCGCCGGTGGTGGTTACCATTATTAATCTCAATCGAAACACGCATTAGCTATCGCTTCAAGTCGTAAACAAACTCACCATTAATGCTTAAAAACATGATTAGAAAGCAGTAAAATTCTTGAATCTCATAATATTTTGAGAGCTTGCCTTGTAATCGAACCAATTCTTATCTCCTCCTCAACAAGCTCTAGTGACCTTGTCCGAAGAAGAAACAGTACATTATGTAAGTAGTACAATTTCCCTTCGGTTTTTTGTACAATAGAGCTAATTACTAAACGCCACTCCAGATCCTATTATCTCTCTTTTCACATTCTTACAAAAGATACATGGTTTGACATGAGAGGTCAATTGAAGTTTTTAGATTATTTAGAGAACTTTTATCTTGACAGAATCGTTAATCCTTCGTTTCCAAAGAGATATGGAGAACTGTATGACACATGATCTAAAGCTTGTGTTATTAAGCTAATATAATATGCCTGTAATAAGTGGTCTAATTTTTTTATCATGAAATATTAGTGTCACTATTAGCTCTTTATCTATGTTTGTAGACTTCAATTAATCTTTCATTGATTCGCAAGTTAAGGGCATTTTCATGTTCTACTATCAGACAAGAATATTTTTTACTGGCTTTAAAATCAGTCTTGAGTTGGTATGGTGTGTAATGTTTGCGATGTCAAAGTGATATATCGAAATATTTATGATAATGACTGATGACTTCACCAGATGGACTGTGATACCACGACGAAACTTGCACTCTCTATTTATTTAGTAAATAATTGTAGTTTGACATTGTAAATAGGCATGATGTATGAATAAACGTATGTTTATGTGAAATTGTTTGGTTTTTCTCTATTTTCCAATTTTATAAGTAATGCAGATTTTAATATAATTTTAAGCAATTTCATTTCAATTAAAAACTTTAACATCTTGCTATCCTAAAGGTAAATTCTTGATACATGGTTACTGGTTAACTCGACCTATATACTTTAAAGGGTTGTAGTTGGCATCATTTCTGATTGATTTCACTATGAAATACCATATTCGAAACCTAACCATTTTCAAGATATTGGACTTTTAAGATTTTTATAAAAATTGCAGAAATTTTGCATATTACATTGTTTAAAACTTATATCCTTATTTTTTTCTTTTTAGGTACTAATCTTTAAGCATTTACCCATGCCATTTTTTTCTATAAAACCATCGAAAGAGTTATTTCGATGTTTTAATATCCAACTATTAAAATCCAATGATTTGTATCTTCCCAACAGGTAAACAGTAAATGCTAAAGAAATAAAATTAAAATTACAGTAGGTGGCCAAATTATTAGGGACAGTATCGAATTTTTTGAATTTCCTAGTTTAATTGGATTTCTGTAACAAACGATTAGTTGTAGGTCTCTTATATATTTTTTCTTTGTATCTGTATTCTATAAGGATCACAAAAACTACAAAAAGAATATACAAAACTGATTTATATTCTTCGTATGAGTATTATCAATATTGGTAAAAATAAATAAAATATTTTTTTATATTTAATGATGCCACCCTTTGCTGCAATAAGAGCTTCTATGCGTCGGGGCATGCTCTCAATACATTTTTTTGCATTTTCCTGGAGTTTGGAGTTGTGATACCATTCTCTGATGAGAGTTTCAATCAATTGTCGCTTAATCACTTCTTTTGCGATCGCCCGTTTGGTGAGTTCCCACATGTTTTCTATTGGATTCATGTCAGGTGAATTTCCTGGCAAAGGCAAAACAGAGACATTTTTTTCAGCCAAAAATGCAGTTACACTTCTGGCTTTGTGGCACGGTGCTGAGTCATGCATAAAAATGTATTCGTCATCATCAGGGAACCATTCATTGAACTGCGGCAATAATCGCGTTTCTAGTACTCTTTTGTATTGGTCTTGTTTCATAGTCCCTTCCACAATGTATAGGCGTCCCATGCCTTTGGCTAAGATGACAGACCACACCATGACACTAACCAGGTGTTTAACCTTCTCTACAAGGCCATCAGCGTGAAATTTCTCACCAGGACGTCGTCTTATAAAATAACTTTTGTCAACCAAAATTTGGAAGGTAGATTCGTCGGAAAACACACCTGTAATTGATAGAATGAATAGTAGAATAAATAAATAAATTGTTATTGACCAATTGCATTATACAAAATAGTTACACTTACTCGACTCCAGTCTGCAATAGTCATAGATCGATGTTGCCTAGCCCATTGGAGTCGTTTCTTTTTCATACTACCGGTTAGGCGTGGTTTTTTGGCAGGCCGCACTCCCATGAGATGCTTTTCGACCAACCGCCTCCGCATTGTCCTCTCTGAAATCTTTATGACCTCTTCGTTTATTAAACGTTGTTAAACGAGCAACGCCCTTTTTACGGTTTTCGAGGCAGATGTTCCTGATTTTTCAATCGGTACGAGCTGTTGTAATCCTTTTCCTGCCACATTTGCCAGCACGATTTGCTTCAAGAGGCTTTTTATTGTCAATTTTTATTTTTATTCGATTGACGACAGACTTTGAAACCCCAGCAATAGCTGCTATGTCTCTCTGAGAATGTGTGGGGTGCAGTAACAACGTTTGTATCTCTCTACATTTTCTTGGAGACGTGTCCAAAGTCCTACCCATCCTAAAAAGCTTATAATTTTGGGTTAACGTGTTGAACCATTAATAAAATGTAAACTCATAGACAAAACGTAGCAAAACTATTCTTATACGGAGCATTACTTACCTTTTGATTAATTAAGACACAAAAGTCGGTTAAAACTAATGAAAAAATAATACCTAGACAATACAACAATAATACCGAAAACCGCGCTTTTTACGGGCAAAGAAGAAACGTCACACAATTAATAAAAAACGCACGTATTCTGTGTTGCCATTTGACAAAAACAATAATAATGATACCAGTAAATATATCAGATACAATAACCGCTTAAAAACAACATCATTTATTAAAAAAAATATAATAAACTGTAAATTACATAAATACGAGCACTGTCCCTATTAATTTGGCCACCTATGGTATATGTCTTCCAACTAAACGAATAACTTATCCTCAATTCGTCTAAACAAGCTAATAACTAAAACTCGAAAAGGACTTAACTAGAATAAGATTAATTATTTAGTTGATTTTGTACCAATCAAAATCACTAATTATACATGGGTAATTAATGAATAAAGCAAGGCGCGATTAAGATTAAGCGTAGATTCCACTTGACAATCTGACCGTACACTGCACAAATATTTTTCTTTACTAATTTAAATCCACATTACACAGTATGACAAGTATTCAAATATTTGCATAATCAAATATTAAAGGCGTCCAACAACACACGTAACTGTTGTGTTGTAAGTAACATCAATTTATTATTTTACACTGAGAAACAAAAGATACATAGAAAGACAATTATGACGGTAAATACTTAATACTTAATGTTTATTGCCAATTCACAATATGTAGTCATAGATGGTAATCTTAAAATATATCTCATCATCATCAATCAACTATTCAGTTCCCTTTATATATTTATCATTGCATTAATTTACTCCTTGATATAGAATGTAATAGTTGATATAGGTGTGTAAATTCATAAAAATTGATAGGCCGTCATTGCCTCTGTAAACGTGGAGTAGATAGAATAAAATAATTACATAAGAGAAAATTATCTGACTGAAAAAAATGAGAAGAAGCCTAATAGGAAAACAAATTTTGAATTAATGTACGCGTTACTGGAGACAAATTTATAAATCAAATTGTATAAATTGTAGTGTCTCATGACGTATATAAATTACCAGCCCATTTCTTTTAAATATATTCTTTTATACATTTTGAAAAAATGACATCTTTGTTTAAGTATATTAAAGGTATATTTCATAATTTTGTATGTTGGTGTACCATAGCGGAATATGAATTGGGGAATATCGATGAGCAATAAGTCGAGCAGGTCTGTGTCCCATAGCTGTAACTCGAATTAGGTATTGCCGGAAAGTCAAATCCCTTAAACCCTTTTCCTAATCTAGAGGAATTCTTTAATCTAGAGAAGAGCTAGGCCGCAGAAAGATGTGTTTTTTTTTTGTTTTTCTCGCTTTAGGACACACGAACACAAAGAACACCCAGACTCAGAACAACAATTTGTGGATCACTCAAAGTGTTGTCGCAAGTGGGGATCGAACCCACAACACTCAGCGCGTAGGAGTCATCCATGCAGTCATACTTATTTATATTGTATAGATGTGCAAACGAGCAGACAGGTCACCTGATGGTAAGTGACTACCGCCGGCCATGGACACCTGCAACACAAGAGTCGTAAGTGAGTGCGCCCTTTTATTACGTCTCCCAGAGTCAAAACTCTCCCCTAACCAACTTAATAAGGTTGAGCGACTTGAAAACTTTTGCATAAGGTTCATTTTTAATGAATTGACTTGTGTCGGTAATACTGTACGGTGAAACATCTTTTGTTGTTACTCCGTGTAAGAATATTTAAAATACGCGATAATCTGTTCGGGAGTGTCGTTAAGTTTACAGAATTCTGTGATTAAAATATAGAATTGCAATCCTACTCAAAGACAATAGTGTATCAGTGCGGAATTTCCTAGAAATCTAGACTACAAATTTAAAAATCTTCTCCAAGTACCGCCGTAAATAAATCAACAGTGCAGCCCGAGATAACGCGTAAGTGCCACGCTTAGCACGGCGCTTATGACTTTCTTCTCGCGAGGTTGCCATCTACACATTGCCGACTCTCAACTACGGGCCAACGGGAATTCAATAAGTGCACACTTTGTTGCTACTGGATTGAATTAAATAAAATAAATACAATGCCCCTTAGTCACTCGCCACCTTCAACGCCAGTCGCGCCTGAACCTAGCACATTAGCACCCGGACACAAAGGCACTGACGACGGAACCGTTAAATATCTTGCCCAACCGAATGACTCAGATACTCCTTCTGAACAGAGTGGTAACAGCAATATTAGCGTACGTCGGAAACGCAGACGTGAACTAGACGACGATTACGG